AGTATTTGATTCTACCATATCTGGGTCTTGAGAAGAAGATTTTTGAAATTTTAGTCAATTTGACCCTTTTTGGCCCCGCCTCTCAGGCCCCTGGGGGCTTGGGACTAAACCGACAGCTATTTTTGTTGACCTTTGTCCATGGAAGGTTCCTGCAAAATTTCATTGAAATTGGTTCAGTGGTTTTGGAGAAGAAGTCGAAAATGTAAATTGTTTACGGACGCACGACGGACGACGGACGACGACGGACAAAAGGCGATCGCAATAGGTCACTCGAGACTTGGTCTCAGGTGACCTAAAAACTTCGGCCCTTGGGCTGATATTGCAGTCTCGGGTTGATACTGGTGAACAATGTTTGCCGTGTGCCGGTGTGAAGTTTTGTGATAGGGGACAGTAACATAATTAGCATTGGAATATCTGGTACATGTAACTCGTGTGTGCTCATTTGATGTGTTTATGGTACTTTTAATTTTAATTTTAATCGATGTATATATTTTTTTCAGTATAACATCAAAAAACTGATTTATATTTGCAAAAATTCTATCTGGGTTTTTTAAAACTATTCCCGGAGAAAAAAATGCTCCCGACTATTAAATATCAAATTTCAGCTCTGGCGTGTTTTTGAGGTCGGAACATTTTATAGAGGGTATGAAATTCGTAGTGACATATGAGTTTTGACGAGGAGAATAAATATTGTCGTAAGTTTACTCCAAACATATACCAAAGGATCCTAAGCATGTTAATAGTATGGATAAATTAAAACTACACTAAAAACCTTCAATTCCAAGTCTGTCTAAAATTAGTGTAACTACTGCGTGCAGTAATGATATCGTCAGATCTCAATTAAGTTCATCGATTTGATTTGAATGATAAGATATTTTTAAACGTATCCATTATTAATTAACTTAGTTCGACAGATACATAATATGTCCATACAAGCAAGTATCAAATTAGGTAACGAGCATTTACATCATGTTATTATTCACTATGATGAAGCAAAGACAAACTTACCTTTAGCAGCAGACGACGAACCGGAAATGAGGTCAAAAGTAACCAGCCTCAATTGTTCCGGGCTATGGAAATGACGCAATCAGAACCTTTTTTTAAGATCTTCACCTAAAAACACAAAGAGTAGTCTACTTAAGTAAAATTTAAACAAAATGTTTTTTTTCTAAATGTTAAAATAACTTAGTTACTATAATGCAACGTTTTCGTTTCGTTAAGTTATGAATGAAGTTCTCCCAGTATTATTGAATTTTGAAAAAAGTTTCATTAAAGTTTGTTACACTTGGTCATATCCCTTGGTCGATATTAGTATAATCCCAGATTAAAAACACTCACGTTTCATTAAGCAAACAAGTTTCATTCAGTCAAAGTCTGCTGTTATATTGTTTGCCTGGGAACAAGAACAGTGCGGAATGTGTCTAGGTTCCAACGGTCTTTATCTAATCTATAGTAGTCGTTGTTTACTAACTTTAAAAAAAAGAACCCGTTGACGTGCTCCAAATCAGTCTATATAGTAGTATGAGGCCTGCCAGGTCTTCTTATCGTAGATAATCTAGAGAAATTTACCCGGGTATCTTAAAACTTCATGTCTGAACAATTCGGTGTAATAGGTATAATATATTATGTTCTCCATATAGTACCTACAGATATAGATATATATACTCGTTATAATACCAACACAATTATGTTCTCCATATAATACCTACAGATATATATATATATATACTCGTTATAATACCAACACAATTATGTTCTCCATATAGTACCTACAGATATATATATATA